TCGTGGTCCTGCTGCAGGCAGTGGAAGCAGCGCCACTGGAACACCATGAGGCAGAGGGGCAGCATGAAGAGGGCGCAGATGGCTGCCATGACGTAGGCGATGGTCATCAGGGTGGACTCGTCCGTCTGCGGGATGTTGTAGCCACAGTCCTCCATGTTGGCGTGCAGGTAGGGCCCCTCCACTGCAGCCGTCCGAAACTCGTCGTGCACTGTGGGCAGGAGAAGGCAGGGCTCTGGCCACCGGGCTACCACTGCATGTCCACGTCCCCTCGCCTCTCCCTCCCTCCAGGCCCAGCCCTCACCGTGGCAGGCACTGACAGCGAAGCCGATGCGCTTGCGGGCACGGTCGAAGACCACGTAGAAGCCCTCCATGATAACTGCACCCATGACGGTGCCTGTGGAGGACTGGGAGATGGCGAACTTGTAGCAGTCATCCTGAGAGGTGGCCACATCCTCCACCGGGCGCAGGTATTGCTGCGGGAAGAGAGGCACTGTCAGGAACGGGGATGGGGGCAGAGCTGTGCCTGCCCAGCACGGTCCTTCCCCTGCAACCAGCTCCAGCCCGCTCTCCGGCTCGGCGCTGGGCAGGGTCTCACCTGGGGCAGGATGGTGATCCGGAAGGGCTGGGTGGGGGCCTCCCCCATCAGGTAGAGGGACAGGACAGGGAAGATGTGCCAGGGGGTGGTAACCCACCTGCCCCCCCACCCAGAAGCCGTCTGGGAACTTCTCCGTCTGCCGGAGGGAAGGGGGAGGTGAGCGGGGCCACGCCGGGCAGGCAGCGGAGATGCTTAGGCTGGTGATGGGCAGCCGCGCTGCCTGCACACCCACACTGGCCCTGGGGACGTGCCCGGGGGGGGCAGGGATGGGTTTCACTGACCGAAGAAGCTGTTTTGATGGATTTCACCGCAGCCTCGAACACCTTCTTTGGCAGCCTGAGGTTGGTGGTCCCACTGTCCACGATACTCTTGTCATAGTTGTACTGGGGGTAGAAGAGGAGTGACGCAGGTGCAAGACCCCGCTCTCCCCCTGCCTGCCCTCAGACTGAAGGCGGATGCCTCCAGCGGCAGCGACAAAGCAGTGCCCCGTAGGGCAGGTTCCCCTGCCGCCCCCTCACCTCTTTGCAGTCCATGTTCAGGTCCTGCCCGTTGACCTCCAGCTTGATGATGATGACCTCGTAGTACCACTCCTTCCGGATGGGTGTGTACCAGATGTCACCCACGTACAGCGAGCGGTCGATGCCACCAATGATCTGCAGGGGGGACAGAAAGTCGCGTCCAACTCTGGCCAGGCACGTGCCCCCCGGGCAGCCCCGCCGGGCTCCCCGCTGCCTGCGGAGCGCTCACCATGCTGCCCCCCACCGATGCCAGGGCCTCCGTCTCGTTGGGCGAGAAGCCTGCCCCGCACAGCTGGAGGGAGAAGATGTTGGGCACCCGTGTCTGCTTCACCAGGGAGTCAAAGAAGGGCTCCAGGCTGTCGTCGGGCTGGTGGGAGGAGAAAGCAGAGGCAGGGGAGGGATGTGTCAGAGCTACCCTCTCCAGGGGCTCTCCGAGCCCCGGGGAGCTCCCCTCGCGAGACCGCTGTGCCCCGAGGGGTCCCGGCTCTGCGTGCTGTTGGAGCAGCGCTCAAGGCCACCTGCACGGCTGCGAGCTGGGCCCCCAGGGACCGAGCGGAGGCAAGGAAAGAGATGATGGAACCCTGCTGGGACAGGGTGTCCACCTCTGCCGGCAGGGCCAGGCAGAGCTGGGGCCCGGCCGGCTGCGAGCCAGGACTCACCCGGGCGATCTCGGCGTACGCCAGCCCCAGGATCCCCTCCCAGTTGGAGCCATTGATGAAGAACTTGTCCGACTCCGTGATGGCAGCAATGTTGGCTCTGACAGTGACGTTGGGGCCATGGGGGATGGTGACAAGGTCAGTGCCCAGTTCCCCTTCCCACTTGCCCTGGGTGTAGGGCACGTACACACCCTTCCGCAGGTCACGGTAGGTGCTGGACCTGTAACGGCATCAGAGCCAGAGTAAGACCTGGGCGGAGGAGTGGGTGCCCACACACATGCGTAGCCGAGCACCTGCAAGCGTGGAGGCGTGCCTGTCCCGCAGCGCGGCGTGGCTGGCTGAGGGCAGCACGTTTCTCTGCACGGGCAGCTGTTGGGGAGCCCCACCACCGGTCGGTGAAGCACCAGGACGGCTCCTTGCAGCCTGGGCAAGGCCGTCACGGGGTGTGGAGGGGACAAGCCCAGATGCCGTTTGCCGTGCACAACAGCCAGCGGCCCAGACACCGTCTTAAACATTGTGAGAGGGCGGAGGGGCGGCCGAGGGCTCCCTCCTTCTCCAGGCACAGAAGGGGCAATGCAGACCCAGCCGGCTCAGAGGCCGCGCTACCTGGCAGGGTCTGGTGGGACGCGCAGCACGCCTCGGTGGCGCTAGGGCTGTGTCACGGGTACACGCAG